GTCTGAGCAACCTGAAGGACCACCAAAAATTACTATAGAAAATGGGAAATTAATTAAATGGTCAATAGAATATGATGATAGATTTAAAAATATTAATATAAAAGCAGAAAAAACTAATTGTGGAATGGATGAAACATTATTGACAATTGATAAATATGGCCTTAGAAGTTTTTTTAAATTTACTTGTTGTAAATTATTAAATAATGATGATTTAATTTTATACTTAGATAGTCATACAATATGTATTTTATCAGTTAACAAAGATTCTAAAATATTTACAAAGTTCAGAAAATTTGTAAAACTGGATGATATTAAATCAGCTATTGAGAAAAATGAACTTGAAGATTATTTATTTGATTTTGAAGATTGCTTTTTATATATTGAAAGTTCATATATTGATAAGCATCAAATTTATAGACAACCTTTTAAAGAAATGTTTGATATGATCAATGAGTTTTATTATTTCAACAAATTTGGAAAGAAGATGTTAAAGAAAGCATTAGATGATAATAATAATATTGCAGTAGAAAAAGTTTTTGATTCTTGTCTTAGTCATTTTATAAAAGATACTGAGTTAAATATTAGTTTATTAAAAATGATTATATTAGAATTACCAAGATTAGAAAAAAATCACTCTGCTTTAATATCAAAATTCTTTAGTCAGACTTCAGTCATATTATTTCCATTTGAGAGAATTTTTTACAATGATGTAAATAATTTCCATGATGCTATAGGTATTGAAAAATCAATTTATAAAGAAAAAAGCTTTTGGGATTTTTATTATAATCATAATTATATTAGAAAATACTATAAAGGAATTAAGGATTATATAAATAAAAAATTAGATGACAAACCTGGAAAACCATGTGTAAAATTGGTAATTCCATATCCTGGATTACTTACATACAACAATGAATATTCATTTTGGAAAGAATTATTGTATAAGCCAGCAAATAGTAAATTTAGTGAATTAGAAATTTTAGAATTATATAATTATCGGAATGGGAAAGTAATCTTGAATCACAAGTGGAATAATTTTGGATTCAATTATCACTTGGGAATTTGGATCTTTTATACAACATTTTTATTAAGCTTTGCAATTGCAACCTCTACTTCACTTCAATTATCTGATAAAAATAGAAATTCATTATTAATTACTACAATCATCATTGGGTTGTTTCATCTTAATTTTGAATTGAGACAATTTATTTGGAACCCAATGAAATATATCACTGATTTATGGAATTATTTTGGTATGATATTATTATTATTAGCTAATTAATTAAATTTGATAATTTAACAATGATTATTATTTATTTAATAGACCTTGTGGCATATTTCTTGCCAATTGTTACTTCAATTCTATTGTTGTATTATGGTTCATCAACTACTGTGCTGGTTTCATTATCCAATTTGTTATTAGATCTGAAATTTATGCTGTTTTTAAGAGCATTTAAATCCTTAGGAAGACATTTTGCAATCATTTTAGGAATTTTTGGAAAAGTTTTTTCATTTTTAATGATACTATTTATAACCATTTTAGGCTTTTCACATGCATTCTACATTTTATTGAAACCAATCCAGGAGGATTATACACTTGACATACCTAATTTCATTGATAATGATCCCAATAGTCCTTGGAATCTTGCTTCTAAATATTTTACATATTTTGAAAGCAACAATTCATATAACCAGAATTCAATTATGGTACAACAACCTAATGGAAACACAAACATGTTTGCACATTTTCATTCCTCAATGCTGGCAATGTATAATTTCCTTGCAGGTAAAATTCTAAATTAATAAAATAACATTTTAAATATGTTTGATTATATAATTGATTTTTTTAATAGGTGATAATGGAGCATTTGAGTCATGGCAGTTGCAAGATGAACCATATCTAGCAATGTTATTTGTTGTATTTTCATTTGTTGTTGTAATATATTTAATGAATTTATTCATTGCTGTTCTTAACAATCAAATTGAAGACTATGACATAGATGGAGCATTTTTGGCTCAAAAGGCAAATATCATAAAAGAGATTGAATTATTTTATTTGCTTCCTAATCAACGTCGTTGGAGGGAGTGGTTTCCAGATACTTTGTAAATATACAATTTATTTTATATTTATTTGATAAATAAATATAATAAAATTTTTTTTTTGATAATTTTTTTTAGATCTTATTATGAACCAATTGAAGATATTCAAAAGAAAACTAGAAAATTTGATAATCAAAAGAAAATTAGAGAAATTGATAGTAGTGGTAAAGGTCCAGAATTTCTCCCATTTATCTCTGAGGAACTTAGAAAATTGGCAAATATACCCAAACCAGATAATTTGGATGTAAAACAAGTTGAAAAAGATCTTAGAAATGATCTTGAAGAAATTAAAGATAAACTAAAGTATAATGAACAAATGTTGCAAACATTATTGGAAAATATACACTCGACTAAATAAATTTCGTGTAACTTTTTTTCATAGAATATTTTCTACAACTTACATTTATTTGATTTATTTATTTAATTTATTTATTTAATTTATTTATTTCCTTTTTTTTAATAAATAAAAATTATTTACAACAAAAAAGTTTAACGAACATATTACAGTATTAAAAAAAAATCATTACCAAATTTGGTCGTGAGGTTCAAAATATTGTTATTTGTTGTATTTCTGAGCATAACTTTCAACTGAAATGAAAATTTGCGACAAAATTTTTTTTTAAATTAATAGACTCTTTTTTTAAAGCTGAATTGAAAGGTGGTGGTGTGGATCACATAAATTTTCAAAATTTTAATTTTTGAGTGAGTCCGTATATCTGCGCCTCTGTACGAAACAAAAATATGGAATCGAAGATCGTACAGACTGGCCCCCACCAACCAACTTTTCAGAATTCACAAGTTCCTTTCCGTACAAAATTAAAAAAATAAAAATCGAAGATTGTACAGACTGGCCCCCACCAATCAGCTTTTCAGAATTCACGAATTCCGTTCCGTACAATATTTTTTTTTGCTCTGTACATTTTTTATTTATATTTTTTAATTTTGTACGGAACGGAATTTGTGAATTCTAAAAAGTTGATCAGTCACAGGACATGTCACGCAGATCAATAGGGAGTTGTAAAACTAGGGATGGGAACGGTTTAACCCAACCCGGTTCAACCGACGGTTTGAAACCGAACCGATGTACACATTTCAAACTGCGGGTTTATTGAACCGGTTAAACCCAGTTCAAACTCTTGTTCGTTTTATAAAATATAAAATGTAAAATTATAAATAGGGTCTTATTTCTTTTAACTAGATAATTAATTACATTTATAATTTACTATGGTTACTAGTACTATGACTTAAGAAAAGAAAAGAAAGATGTCAGCCACTAATATTTACTACTATTATCATTATATACAAGGGCTAAAGAAGGAAAAATAGATTGATAGAGAAAAAATAATTTACCAATTTTATTCAAACCATTCATTTTATTAATTTTATTTGAATTAATTTTATTTGATTTATTAGTTTTATTCAAATTATTAATTTTATTCAAATCACATATTAGTTTATTTAAAAATCTTACTAACTGATCCTGTGGTCCTAAATTTTGAATTGGATCTGATAATAAAATTTAACTATGTTTATTTTTTTATTGTTCATAAAAGAAAATTATCAACCGTAAGTCAGCGGGTAGGCTGTGTGTTGAACTATAAATAACCTATTAATTAGGAAACTCGGATTGCACGTTCGCAATAGATCTTGTCCTTAAAGCTTACTTCGATTACTCCTACACAAACTATTGAATAATTAATAAAACGTTTGTTATTATATTTTGTTCACAGATCTTATCCTTAAAGCTTACTTCAATCACTCCTACACAAACTATTAAATAATTAATAAAATGTTTGTTATTATATTTTGTTAATAGATCTTGTCCTTAATGCTTACTTCGATAACTCCTACACAAACTGGATCTTAATCTTTATTATCATCTTCAAAAAATGATGATTCGTTATCATCGTTTGCTATTTACTGCTACTAATATTATTGTTTAATGTTGCTATAACAACTACTGATTGATAGATATTCGTAATAATCATTAATGAAACTTTAATCAATATAAAGTCAGAAATATAAAACAATCTAATAAAATACCTTTTAGTTTTTGCTGAATTCCATCTACAAAAATTCTTCATGACAATTAAATTTCTATAAAATAATTTTTCGTGAACCTCTCTAAAATTTATTAACCAATACCCCAGACTATATGAAAGCTTAAAGTATTCTACACCTTCTCATTTACTATCAAGTCTTTTAAGGCGATTTTGAGAAATGATCTGAGCTTTGAAGTGAAAAAGTAATACCGTTTTTGAATAGCCGTGAATTCATGTAGAGAGGAGTTTTTGATGTGAAGGAGCATTCATTAGAAAGCTTTAATGGATTACTTTCATTTTACTCTAACAACGAAGTTCGAGTTTATTATAAAAGTAACGAGATATTTTAAAAAACTTTATGTGACACGAATTTCGAATTTATTTTCAGATATTAATATTAATATTAATATTTAATATAGAAAAGCAAGCCTCACGCGACTAATAGACTCATAATCCGCACAGTAGAAAAAATGTTCAATTTATATGTTTCCACATATTTTTCTTTCTGCAAATTAAAACCATAACGATACAATCATAAATGTTAATATTTCTTTTATCATGACTGCACTATTAGTAATATTGCATTTCATAAATGAAAAAAACCAAAACGTGTTTGAATTGTCTTAGTGCCCGAGTTTGAAACACATATAGGCAGGTCAATATTGGTATATAGAGTTGTGTTAGCTTTCTTTTTTTGACTTTAAAGTTAAATGGTAAATATACAGTAATATTGGCAATAAAATAAACGCACTTGAACTGTCTTTAGTGTCTTAATTCAAAACACATATGTGCTGATAAATATTGCATGTATAACGACTTTCAAAATTAAACCTTACAAAAACCTGTACCTGAATCTACCTAGTGTACTAGTATTATTGGAAACTGCATCTTTCTAGTAACATTTACTGATTTTGAATCATTATCCGAAATATTTGGAAGAGTAGGTTTAGCTACAGTGATCCTTTGATTTTCATTTTGTAATCTATAGCAATTAAGTCCAGTAATACAACAATGTAAAGTTATGTTCAACTTAGGTTCCTATAATAAATATAAAAAAATATATTACCAAATTAAAAAAATATCTCTCCATTTTAAATATTAAAGTTACCATTGTTATTTTGTAAATTTAGAATGTGTAATAGTTTTTTACTAATAGTAATGATAATAGTAACATTCTGCAAAGTGAGATGAAATATACAAATTTTAAAAAATAATAAATTAATTTGTTATTAACCACCCAACAAATCTTCTTGATAATGGAAAAAGTTACACATAAAAATGACATAAATGGTGGGGGATAAATTAGTCAAACCACTGGGATAATATACAAGTTTAAGCTCAATTTTACGAAGTAAAATTGAACTTATACCCGTACTACCCAGGGTTTAACTATTAATTGATGATCCGTCTATGAATCAGAGAAATGTCAATCAATTTATTATGGAAATGCGGGGGAAATTTCATATTAAATGATTGGCAAAAAAAATCAAAAAATCGAATATTTTGAGTAAAAAATAAAAAAAAAACTATAGTATATATTAATTATTGCATTCATAGTTTTTTTTATTTAATAATAAACTCAAAAATAATAATAGGACTTGTCTTCCATTGTATTCGATCTCCCATCTAGGAGCATGTTACTAGATTGTTTGTTAACAACCATGCGAATACACTACCCAACAAGTCCTGTTTAACAAAGGTAATATTATTCTATAAACATAAAAAAAAATTGTTTTCGTTTTTCCTCTGCTTTTCAAACTTTTGATAATGAATATCAAAACCTTGCATTTAACCATATATCACAACAACAACAAAAAATTCCAAACAGTAATCACTGATCCTCATGATACATTTGAAACTTTATTGACCAGTATAGAAGAATTTATGGATTTCAAAGATGATGTTATTGGATGTTACTTAAAACTTGGGAATAGATGGAGTGAAGTGTCCTTAAATGATTCCACATTCATGGCATTCGCACCAGAAATAAAACATGTCAAATATATATTAACAACAAGTAAATACTATTTTTTATTAAATAAATTTTTTATTAAATATATATTTATTCAAAAATTAAATTGCAAATTTTATAAAAAGATGACAATAATGATGATGATAAAGATGAAGATGATGGTGACAATAAAGATATAGACAATAGCAACAATAACGACAATAATAGCATGGAAATACAATAATATATATATTTATATATATCAATTTTTTTTTAATTAAAAAATACATTTTTGACTATGTCATGACTTTTGGTAATGGATGGAATTTCGAATAGTCTTAAACATTTCAAATAGTCATAAACATTTCAAATAATCATAAACATTTCGTATCACTTTTATTTTTTTATTAGAACGTCTAAAGCATTTTCTTTATTTATAAAAATTAATAAATGTTACACGGAAAAATCAGATTTTTTCAATACAAAAACTCAAAAAATCAACATATCATAAACAGAAAACTTTTTTCTTTACATAATTAATAGCAATAAAAAATACATAAATATGTTCTCTGAGATTTATTTTATTTGTATGCACAAAAAAAATTTATCTTGCAAGACAAAAGTATAGTAACTTTTTTTTATAAAAGGTTACCGATTAGTGTTTTTTTGGTCAATTTTCCCCCGCCGATCACTATATAACACTCACCGATTCATAGACGGATCGTCAATTAATTATTATTTGGTTGTACAAGAACTTTTTCAAGACGTTCGGCGCTTTGCAACATAGCAATTAATACAGTGATATAAATGAGGAAAAAGTTTTACTTGTTTTGGAAAGTAGAATTTCTATTTGCAACACTAATACTAATACTAATACAACATCTCATTCGAAAATAAAAACGAATAAAACAAACAAAAACCCTATCGGAAAGGTATATTTACTAAAATACTGATTAACAAATTAAAAAAAATTTTCTTGGAATGGCGCATTACACAAGAAATTTTTCCCTTTTACAACATGCTAATACTTCCCACTTTAACACTTTAAAGAGAAATTTTAAGCGCCCACCCTACGTAGCATATAAATAACATTGTAATTTTCTTAACTTCATTTTTTTCTTAGTTGCATTGTTGTCCTCTTGTATCTTCATAAACCTATTTTTGACCATAAAAAAAAAATTTCGTGTAATTATTTTTCTTTATTTTTTTTTCATAGGATTAAAACATATATTAGTGTCTTAATTTTTTTATTTTACAAAAAAAAAAAAAAACAAAAAATGGAAAAAAATAACCTTAGCTCAAATGAAATTATAGAAATAGTAACTGATGAAATTATGGAAGATAAAATATCAATTATGAAAGAAGATAATCACAATTCTAATTTAAATACAAATATAACTGATCCACTTAATGGACATCTTGTTGATGAAATAAAGTATAGTCCTAATTTAAATTTTTTAGTAACTAATAGTAAGGGAGATTCATCTATTGTTGGATGGACAGTTGATCTTGACAATGGAACTATCCAACAAGATAAAGATAATTACTTTAAATATTCTACAGAGGATTTTAAAAGTTATTATGTTTATATAGGAGATGTTTCTGATAACAAATATATAACTTTACATGGTGAGGATAATAAATGTCATAGTAAGTAATTATTTATTAAGTAATATATGTATTTTATTATTATAATAACTAAATATTTAAATCATTTAAATTAACTTTTTAGAATTTCTTGACTTTACAAAAAAAAAATACAGTGATTTTATAATTAATGGTAAAACATGTAATAAATATTTTTATGGTGGGAATTTTATTACAAGCAATGATTTATTAATGATTAAAGAGGAGGATTCTAATATCTACCATTTATACAATTTTTCATATGACAATAATAAATTGGTTCATAAATCAACATATTATTATATGGTTCATAAACCAAAATTTTCTTATTATTACTATGGGCCTAGGGCTTTTATAAATTCTGGTGATCTTTTGGTTAGTTCTAATAATTTATTTATATCACAATGGAAAGGTGTAACAATGTCATATCAAGATAATTATTATTTAGCAAATGGATGTTTCTATAATGTTATTACTAATATTACATTTAATAAAGATAAAACAATAATGGCACTATATTATGGGTATGATTTCACATTAGTTGTATATTCATTAAAAAATAATATTATTATTTCTGCAAGTAAGTATTTATATATTCTTATTATTTGCATGTTATA